CACTCCTGAACACCCACACTCCTGAGCTCACCGTGGACACCCACACTCCTGAACACCCACATTCCTGAGCTCACCGTGGACACCCACACTCCTGAACACCCACACTCCTGAGCTCACTGTGGACACCCACACTCTGGACACCCACACTCCTGAGCTCACCGTGGACACCCACACTCTGGACACCCACACTCCTGAGCTCACCGTGGACACCCACACTCCTGGACACCCACACTTCTGAGCTCACCGTGGACACCCACACTCCTGAGCTCACTGTGGACACCCACACTCTGGACACCCACACTCCTGAACACCCACACTCCTGAGTTCACTGTGGACACCCACACTCCTGAGCACCCACACTCCTGAGCTCACCGTGGACACCCACACTCCTGAACACCCACACTCCTGAGCTCACCATCGACACACACACACACACACACAAGTCTGAGAGTACTATGTAGTACATACCCTGAGATCAAGTATCAACTTGAGAAACTCTAGATTCTGGTTTTTCAGGAAAAAAAATACATTTTCTGCTATAGAGATCAGTTCTTAGTAATGTATATGCTAAAATGAACTATGTTAAACCAATTTCAAACTCTAATTTCTCCCACAATTTTCTGAAGATCTCATTACCACTGAAGGCTACAGGAGCTAAAAGCAAAGAGCTTGGGAAGAACAGATTAAAAACAAATTTAAATCCTTCCACCTCCCAATTGTAAATTAAGAGAAACTAAAGCATGAATAATATAAAATGACAACAAATGTCCATTACAGTATTATAAATATCACATGAAAATACAATATTAGATGAGTATCTCAAGAGACCATTACTAGTGTGATAATATTAACCAAGCTGGTTTTTCTCTTCATATAGGAAATACCCAGTATTATGAAATGAATCCCTGTCAACTTAAAGATTCAAGTATATTGCCAATGGAAGGAAAAATGCATAGAGGCCATAAGTCAGAAGAAGTGAAAAATGTCTCATGCCACAAAGCCTGTTTCTCTCTGCTCAGAAAAATATCTACTTTATATTAGTAGAATAAGGAAGTATTTATCTTTCTGTAACTGGCCTCATTTCACTGCCTATAATGTTCTTAAGATTCATCAGTGCTGCAGCATATGTTAAACTGTCCTCTTTTAAAGTTGGAGGGAAATTCCACTGCATGCATATGCTATGGTTTCTCTGTTCATTCATCATCTCTGAACACTTAGACTGTTTCTGTCTCTTGGCTATTTTGAAAATGGTTCAGTATCTAACATACTCAAACTCTCAGATGTAGAGAACAGAGTGGTAGCTTCCAAGGCTTTTGGGAGAAAGGCATGTGAGTTGCTATTTTACTGAGAGTTTTTGAAATTCAAGGTGAAGAAGCTTTACAGACATCCTGGGTAGATCATGATTGTAGTGAACCATACCATACTACAGAATTAGAATTTTAAGAAGGTATTCCTTATTTTATGATTTTAACACAATACATTTTAAAAACCCATTTTATATTCATAACAATCACACAATTACTGATATTAGAGTACTCTTCAAATGTATGTGTCACTAATTTTGGTGATTCAAAAATCTATTATAAATGATATTGATCTGATACTCATTAAAGAAAGCTGCAACTAAGTAATCAAAGGGAAAAAACAGGTTTGATTGAGAAAAAAGACAAAGCATTAGGCTTCTTTTAGAGAGCATAGAATATCTAGTGAGTAGGACCCAAACAAAGTTTAGAAAACGGCTAAGCCGGCCTTCTAAGTGCACCCGAAGCAGTATGTGTCTGTGAAGGATGGGAAGGAACCCATCGGGAAGGCAGGAAGATGCTAAGACAGGCCTTCTTTGAGATTTACCTGGCCATAGGAAGGCTCTGGTGTTTTGAATTTCTTTGAAAATTGTTTTCTTAGTCTGGTGCAAAGACTGTATGTAGGTTGCCATCAACTCTATATATTAGGCTCTTAGGTAGGGGTTCTCAACCTGTGGGTCATGACCTCTTGGGGTAAAATGACTGTTTTATAGTGATCACCTCAGGACCATACTTAGATATTTGCATCACTTAGACCAAACACAGATATTTACATTACAATTCGAAACAGTAGCAAAATTACAGTTATGAAATAGCAATGAAAATAATTTTATGGTTAGAGGTCACCCCACGAGGAACTGTATTGAAGGATCACAATATTAGGAGAGTTAAGAACCTAAGAGTCTTTGGATCAATCTGGGTCATCTCAAAGGCTCTCAAATTATCCTTTGAGACAAAGGAATCTTTATTTTTGAGATCAGGAGTATAGAATTCTAGAAGATACATAAAAGTACCAGATTACAATAAAACTACGTCTATGTTAAGCTCTCACAACATATGAAGTACTAAAATATCTGCTCTCTCATTATTCACATTTGCTTTAAAATACTACCCCTTTACGTTTTTCTCAATGAACATAATAATGTCCTGCTTTGTTTTGCAGGTAAGTAATCTGAAACAATTATATGCCCCTCCATGCCCGCCCCCCACCCATCAACACCTGAGGCAGGTGGAAGAGCTGACCCTGAGGCCATTGGAGCAGGGAGTTTGGTCACTGCCCCTCATCAGCTGCATCACCCAGGAGAGTGGCCCCTACATCTTGCCTGGGCAACACAGTAGAGCTGCTCCTCAAGGTGTTATGTGGGGAGAACCGATCCTGAGGACATAAAAACCAGGAAAGTGGTCCCCACCCCTTGCTCATTGCTACAAGAGGTGAACTAGCCAGGGCAATTCTGGAGAGCCCACCCTGGTGACAAAGACAGGGGAGAGCTAGCACAACCCTGCAACTACCCAGACCCAGAACCAGGGTTATATATTGGCCCACCCCAATATCCACCCCATCTATGATCTGCTGGAGCACAGGTGGGTGGGTGGGGCAGTACTGTGGACCCAGGGCTGCAGGATTTCCATGACACAGGGCAACAACGGGATGTCCAGGACGAGTCCCAGTGAGGTCCCAGTGTCGATGAGCAGGGGCTCCCAATCAGACCAATGATTCCTTGCAATGAACGCCAGCATTTATAAATGTATAAATAAAGGGGGTTTACTGTGTGACTCACTGTATCACATTGCAGCTTCCATGATGAGATTTTCCCCTTCTTCCTATTTTTCTCTTAAATTTTATTTTGTTTTATTCGGGGACATGGGTGGGATTGGGAGGCATGATGTGAAAGACACAAAGAAATACATAAAAAAGAAAGTTAAAAAGAATTCTAACTACAGGATCAATCCACTATTGACTTCCTTGGTGTTCCAATTTTCTTAAATAATTAGAGTTTAAATATCTGTCTCCAAAAAGATAAAACAATTATTATCTCATACTTACCTATAAGAGGAATCAGGGTGGACAAGATTAGAAAAAAATATGAAAGAAAATAGGGAACTTTTATTTCTCTCATTGAAGTCCATTGTTTTGGTCCAGTGTCTGTTTTTACTCATCCTAATGCCAGGGACACATGCTACTTTGGAAGAGAAAGAAAAAAAATCCCTCTTTCCTTCAAATGTTTGAACCTCAAAATAAAAAATTTCAAACAAAGGATAGGAGCAATTTATGCAAATGGTGTCCCCAGAGTACGTAGTTTGCTTCTGTCTTCTGCACTTCACGGGAGAGATTAACATTTTGAAGTCAAAGTGAGACTCTCAGCCAAGAGCTATTGTGACATTCAGGGCATCTTTTACTTCTAAGGTCTCTCCATGTTCAGATCCATAAATTAGATTAAAAGTTATATATGAGAGAAACAAGGATCATAAATGCTCACCTCAAAGCATCAACTGAAGCCTGCTGTCCAGTGTGCTTTGACAGTCTGTGTCAATGTGTTAGAGATATAGGCGGTATGTCAAATGATTTGTTTAACCATGTATTATGAACAGTGATTAAAATTTAGGATGAGGACTTTAAAGTCAGGTAACAATGGATGAGAATCTCATGTCAGTCAACCATAGACTAGCCCTGAAGATCTGACCAAGTTATACAAAACCATTTTATTTATTCTCCTCCAAGTTTGGATTCCTCAGTCATACTACTAAATGAAGAAAAAGAGTCATTGCCTCAGAGCATCATCATATGCCATTGAGAAAATTGATATAAAACAGTTATCATGTTAGTTGGAATCTGAATATGCAGGGGATTTTCGTGGATAAATTATTAATAAGACATTGTTATAAACCAATGAACATAAAGAAGTAGAAAGATGTCAGTGACGCATGGTGAACACGGGCAAAAAATTGTCTAGTTACCCATTATTACATAGAAAAAAAAAAGTTAGGTAGCTGGCCACATAGAATAGATACCAAAGTGTCCATTCTTCCTTGTGGCAACTTGGCTAAATTTTGACAAAGTGAGGGAGTAACTTCTGCACTGTGCTTTTAAAGGGAATATACAGGCGTTCTCTTTTATCATTTGATAGAATATTGATGTGGCTGTGAACCATTCCGAATGTTTGGACAAGGATAATACAGAGACAGGGGAACACCAGATAAAAAGGTCTCAGATTTCTACCCTGTAGTATATAAACCATCTCCACTGACTGCAGGAACACGGCCAATCAGCGTGGATTCACAGAGTAAACAGAAAGGAAGGGAATTTTCTTGTCTGAACCGTACAGTTGAGATTTCTTTGGATGCAATCAAACTGTATTCTAAACCTCATTAATAAAACAAATAAGAATGATGATGTTTACTGGCATGATACAATTTTTCACTTTATTTTAAATCTAAACAGCAGGTCACCAATCATTTGCATAAGAGCAACTGAAGAAGGGATGAGACGCTGGACCACTGAGAGCTTCGGGGAGAACTGTAGAGACAAAGGCAAGTCTGAGAAAATGGGGAACTGAGAAATCTCAACAAGCTCAGCCTGGATGATGGGTGAAGCAAGGCAAGGAAACCGGTGGGAAGCTACTCCTAGAAAGCAAGGGAGGAAGATGGGGGACTGGGTAGAGGGGAGACTGTTCAGAAGATGCACCCACATGTGCTGATAGGTTAATACAGGCAGCGGAAGAATTGCTGATGGCCCTCAGACTTTTAGCTTGAGCCAGAATAGGAGAAAGATCAGCAGATCAAACTGAAGTCCACTGAATATTTAAATGGATAGTTAGATCTGTTCATATGGTGTTCAGGTAAGAGTTCTGGCCTACAGATATAAATCCTGGAGACACCAATGCAGGAGGAAAATGTAAGGATGAGACAGTCAGGTGAGTGTGCAGACAGAAGCAGCCCTTATAGCAGCTTTTCATTACTGAAACAGAGGTGATCATCCTAAAAAGAGGAAGGATTTGATAATATTTTATCAAATATATATAAAAATATTTTGATATTTTGGCGCACAGTTAGAAAGGTTTCAGGACATGGTAACTGATTCCACTGCTCTGGGCCTGTAGCCAGGCAGTGAGCATGGGAGGAAGAACAGGCCAGACAACACTGCTTTTCTCATGGCAAAGGGGAAGAAAGGAGAGGAAGAACAAGGAGTGAAAGTCTAAATATCACCTGTAAGGCCACACCTCCAATGACCTAAATTCCTTCCATTACACCTCACCCCAAAGATGTTCTATCACCTCCCAATAGTGCATGTACTGGGGATCAAGACTTCAACATACATGTGTGTGTGTGTGGGGGGGGGTCAGTTAGGATCCAAGCTACAGTGCCACTCAAGGCATGAGTTTCTGGGGGCTCTAATGTTAGAACTGAGGATAGAAGAAGGAATCAGGGGGTTGAGAATGGCACTGAGGCAGTGGGAAAGTGGGCCCATGAGACATTCTGGAAGCTGAGGTAACAAGGCATCTCCAGAATTATAATCACAGATTACAAACTGTGGCTCAGCTAAGCGATGACCGAGAACGCTGCCCACTACATATAACAAAATCAAGGGCATTGCTGAGATGTGTGGTGATATACTGTGTGCCCTAATACAATTTGCCTGAAGATCAGAGAACAGAACAAGCCACTAGATTAAACATAGAGGCCAGGCAGTGGTGGCACACACCTTTAATCCTAG